AATATTTTGCATGGTATCAAAAAAATAGTCATGTTCATAGACTGTTACATGCTCGGTATCCTAAGGGAAGGATACTCAACCCTGAAGTGTTGCACAACGTGGTCCACAAGATCAGCTTCAGGGCGCAAGCATTTCATTTACTCATGTACACAGCCAAGCCATTGCACGCAAACACAAGGTAAGGGCATACCTACTTGAGTCAACATAAAGAATATTTTGATACGTGTAGGACAAAAAACACAAAAAATCAATGTAGACAACCAAATTGAGATAACAATTTGTATATCTGACTTGCCATAGTAAAACAAGAAGACAATCACAAATACGAGACAGGAAGGGAAGGGTTTCGAAATAATATGAAGTATACAGATACTAAATTTGCTATCTTATGATATGTAGATCTTATTCAATGAGCCACAATCAAATACTTGGAAGTACAGAAAGGTCAATCCGCGCGCTCTACACAAGCAAAACAAAGGTTACGACGCGATGACCACTAATAACACATCAGATATATAGGAAACAGAAATAATAGCAGATCAGTCAAAAGTATCAAAAGCGCCACAGCGGAAAAGAAATGAAATTGACAGGTTTGGTACTGACAGTTCAGGTTCATTAGGGCGAGACATCACCCGAAGCGGTAGATAACTTCCTTTTGGGTTGATATCGAGCCCGCTTTTTTACTTCTGCAATTACTGCCTCCTTTGGCATACCAGAGTTGTCGGAGGCAGAAGACAAGGAAGCTGATGGGCCAGGGGACGGTGGCAGGCACTTTTCCACAATTGTATCTATACCAATCACAATTCCTAGAGAGGTGACACCAACCGAGTCCACTAAATCCGCTTCGCAACTTTTGCAGGCTGACACTACGTTTGCATCACTACCCTCAAACAAGAGCTGATCATTTTCCGTTTCAGGAGTGTTTGACGGAAAGAATGAACCTCTTAGGTAGTAGATGTAGTCTTGAGACAACATATACGTAGGTGAGCTATAGCCCTTGGCCTTTATCTCGTAAAGTAGATGTTGATCGCGGTCCGCGCCACCACAACCGATGTAAGTTACATATGTGCGGTATTCGGATCGCCATCCATGGTTTGGTGAGAGCTACAGTGATAGCAAGGTGAGCATAATGCGGGAAACACCTCGAGAATGAGCCCCGTCTTACCTTCTGTTCGATTTCAAAATTACCGGATAGATATATTCCATGGTATGTAGGATTTGAGTTGTCGGACATGATTAATGCCGCCGATATTAAAACTCGATGAAGTCACTGAAATCAACCTAAGCAGAACAACGGAGAACAGACATGGCCGTAAGCACGTATTCATTTAAAATACAAAGAAGTGGGTAGGAAGAGAAATTTATAAGAACCACTAATATCTCAAACGACACACGCAATGCCTGGTAGTTGATATGGGATCGGATGGACGCATACGTGATTTTATAGCAATTCCAAAAGCAATTTTGAGATTTGACTGCTTGACCCCCAGGCTTGGCCCCAATGAATTGAAAGCAAAATCGTCCGGCGATTGTGAATGTGGGGACGGAGGCAAATCGACATGGTCGAGTGTTACACCGCGTGGCATGCCAGGAGGAATGTAATGACAGGCATTTTTGGGGTGGGCACTCTGAAATAAAAGCTGGTCAGGTACTAAAACAAATCACAATGCAGCCAAAGTGGACTAACAAGTTTCCTCATCGTGACTGGACGTGGCATATATTACGTTATCAACCAATGTGTTGATTGGCATTTTGAATCATGTGCACAACCAAGAATGTTGACAAAGCGTAAGAATATATTATATAGAGGGGAAATGAAAGGAACTCACCGCGACAAGGTAATCAACCAAGGAATAGTATGTAGAATTTATGATTAGCAACTATTTTCCAAAATCAAACTATATCATACACAACAACACCCCAAGGTGTTATCGGACGCGAATCCACAATCAACCAAACTTGCCGTCCAGACCAGTGACTATATACCGTCAGCAGTGCAGATGTGTGAAATCACAAAACCTTAAAAAAGTTAGGTCTTACAGCCCATACGGCCTCATGACATAGGAATAACATTTGAAGTCAAAAGGGTAGAATGCAGGCGCCAAGGTTAATCTAAATTCATCCATGCCGGGAGATTCCAAATCTAGCTACTGTGACCGAGAGACGTTTCATCAAGGCAATCGGAGAATAAAGCACGTGATAGTATTGTGTTGGTCAGAGGAGCATTATGGCAGCACTCATGCGGTCTAAGTCCAATGGAATCAAAATGGCAATATTGTGGCCCATACCAATGGTTCGAGATTGGCACATGTAAGGATACAACGTCGGATTACAACATGTAATTACTGTTACAAGTACCAAGTCATAAATATCAGAACTTGAGTGTGTAGAGCAACTTTTCCATTATGTAAGTCGTGCCGCGTAGGATAAAAATGTATCAACTGCTGCAAATAAAAATTTGCGCCGCTCTTGAACAGATTGGATCAACCCAGGAAGCTTGGCAGGCTCATATATACCATTATTGGACTGAGTAACTTGTGTGTGTCAAAAAATTTTGGAGTTGGACACGTAAGCCAACCCAGATCAATTATTCAAATACATGTTCCAGTAAGTCTATGTGAACTTTATTTGTATGCAACACCAAGTCTATATCATGATTTTACATTAAGTTGGCACCCAGGTAGTGTGAAATAAAAGCATTTAACGTAAATGCAGGCTAGTGGTATCAAAAATATGTTAAAGTTGTCAACATCTTTTGATCTTCGAGCTGAAATTTCAAAATTGCACTCCAAAGGTTGTATATATACAATTAAAGACGGGTTAGGCCGTATAATGAAATATAAGAGAGTCAGGAAACATCAGGTGAAAATTACTATCATAGGACAAAATGGCAATCATTGACAATCCTAGACATTGCACTGAAGGTGGAATGAACCTCAAGAAAGAGTTCATTGCTTGAAAAGTAATAAGGCAAACAGAAGATCAGGTAGAGGTTTTACCAAAAAGAGCATGATAGTTGGCCAAGATATAACGCAACACGACAAATAAACACAATATAGCATAGCTTATGTGGCCGCATGGAAAGGGAATTTCTTTCATAATGAATCAGGAATGGATACAATGTTCTGTCATTTAATATTTATCACACAATGCGTAAAAAAAACCCTAGCAGAGTTTAAGTGACCACAGTGAAAGTGATATTTTTCATCGTGATTTAGCAATAGTGACACTCTTCTTGGCCTTGGCTTTTGGAGGAGCAAGGGCTCTCTTTTTTGGTGGTTGGCCAGTGGTCTTTGGGCCTTTTGGAACACTGCTAGACGTCGACGGTAATGACAAAGCGGGGGAGGAACCGGACCCAGATTCCACTTGCAATTCGGATCCTTCACCAGACCCAGAAACAACTGCCCGGGAAAAGCCCGAAGTAGGAATGGGCGATACAAATGGTGAGGAGACCGCCCTTGATACAAACCTACTTGAATATGTAAGCAAAGTCCAGAATGACAGGGAGAAACATATGAATAAATGCTGACTAACTTGACTGGCTTCTTTGATGGTATACCATTTCCCACAGTTTTTGCTTTGGTGGGTGCTGTTAAATCTTGATAACCACTTGTCATGTATAATTTGTTTGCCTGCATGATGAATGCCATAAACGATAAATGACAGGACAACCCAGAACTGCAAGTATAACAGTACTTACTACAACGACATAGGAGCTCGTTTCCACATTGAAGTCTTTGATATATCCATGTATTGCGCATTCACGTCCTGTTTTCAAATAAGTAGCAATGCGAGCAAGATTTGGGGTGGGCCGAATTAGGTATTCTACCTTGCTCATGTGCGTTTTTTGACTCTGAAATAACGAGTCAGTGACCGGCTACATCAAGGGGAAAAGTAAATACCTACAATGGGGTTAAATTCGGAATGTTGCATAGTAACAACTGTTGTTTGTAGATCATCCTCCTGGCCGGTTTTTTTGAGGTATTGACAACATTTCTCGGTGATGTGTTCAATGTTGATAACAATGCCGAGACCAGATATACCAACCGAGTCCACGGATTCTCCCTCATAGTTATCAAGTGATGCTATCAATGTAGCGTCAGCACCCTCGAATATAAATTGATCACTTTCAGTCTGAGGTAGGTTTGTGGGGAAAAAAGGACCACGGAGGAAGTAGGTGTGGTCCTTGTAGAGTTTATGTTCGTTGGCTGCGAGACCGGTGGCCCTGATCTCGTACAGCAATCTTGCATCACGGTCAGCACCTCTACACCCAATTGAAACAGCATAGGTAATGTATTCAGGGCCAGAGCCAGCGATGGTGATTGGGGATACCTGTGTAGAGCAGTCGGACTATGTGAGTCTTGTGTTCGCACTTAAACTACCGAGCAGAAGAATGTCTGTACATACTTTATTTTCAATCTCGAAATTGCCAGAGGCATAGATGCTGTGTTGAGTGGATGGTGATGTGTCCGACATTTGGTCTGATTGCAAAGTTGGAAAAAAAGTATGGATGAATGATATCATTGGGAAAGAGAAGTGTCGATAGAGGCAGAGCAGACAAACTTACTGTTTTGCAAGTTGGTGTAAATAGAAAGTAAGTTGCGCCCAAGCTAATAGCCGTTGGACCTTGGTGAGGAAACAGGTACTGGATGGTTTGATTTTGGCAGCAGAATCAAGGGACATGCGTGTCTTATATAGCTTTCAAAATGAAGAGGCGGATTCTCGTCAGTGAAGCATAGGACGGGCATTGGGAGAGGGAAACTCGTGAACTTGCCAAGGAGACAAATTGTTGTACCATGTTTTTCGTGATATGATTTGTCATATCATGCTGTGCCTATGTGAATCCATTCTGTCGGGAATTGTAGGAGGACATCTGCCGGATGGCGTATACCAAGGCGACTTTTGTGATTGGGTAGTATGTAGGTGATTACTGGAAGCGATGCGTCCACACCAACGTGTATGGAATTCTCAACATAATGTGACGGACAAACGGTGACAATTTGACTGCGCAACATTGAGTGAAATAACAATAAAATCCGGGTGGCGCGAAACGTCAAAAGGAATTCCATGTCAAGAGACAGGGTATTGCAAGTTAGGTAGTCGCATGAAAGTTGCCTAAATTCCTTTGTTCAAGATTGTAATCGAGTTGATGCAATCATGGGGAGAGATCGCAAATGCATTTATGATGCTCCAAGCCGCGAAATACTTCCGGACACCTCGATACCAAATTAAGATACAGAAGGTGGCTGTCATGATCGCGCAGACATTTTAGTATGCTCTGATACTTTGGTGAGTTCAATATGGTATGGGCCCTGGAAGTTTGCGATGAAAGTGGATGAAAGAATATACGGAGTTGGCTTTACGCATGTTGAATATTGTTTGTTTGACGTAAACATCAAGGTGTACGGTGATAAATGACGAAAATCTACATGGTGGCCTGGTAAAAGTGGTGTGAAATTCGTTTGTTCAACACATACATCCATCAGGTGGATGGTGACATATTTTGAAACTCGATTGAAAATGAGACTAACGGAAATGATTGACGGATTGCCATGTTTCCGGATGATTTTGGACCAAGGTCCTAAACTCTTATAGGGGGAAGCTTGTGTATTTTGACGAGTTTTGTAAATGAAGTGGCTTTGGGATTAAATGTTATGATTGATATACATATATAAAATATATATTGCAACATTTCAATTACAACATGTTTGAAAGGTTTGTCCAATATTTTTGGCTTTTGTTAACAAAAAAAAAAACTACATATTGAAACAATTGTCTTCCTATTGTTAAAGAAATAAATATATACTGGAAGAGTTGCATCAAAATATGATTGAAAGCATTGTTTGGTAGTATATTTTGGTAATATACTCAATTTATGTATTCTTTTGTTAATGAAAAAAATTATATTATGGAACGGTTTGAGTAAGATGTGTTTGAAATTTTTTTGTTTGAGATACTCATCATCCCAACTGTTTTTTTCCTTTTGTTAATGAAAAAAAATTGAAACAGACTCAGTATAATCTGTTTAAAATAGATGTTTGTTCCGATATTCAAATATCAATATTCTCATGAGGGTCATTTATAGACATGATATGTTTGGAATATCAATTAATTGTGCTGATGCAGGATAGGGGGACCAGATGCAATGGCCACTATGCCCCCTAACCAGTGATGGAACATGTGACATGGGATTTGCATCAATCGCAGGATCTTGTGCGTGGATCTGCAAGATCCATGAATGTTTTGTAAATTGTGAAAAGCTTGTGCGTGGATCTGTGAGATCCATGAATGTTTGATAAAATGTGTAAATCTGCACAGCAAATTTGAGCTCATATAAATTGTGCTTCATGCACCCAAAGTATATTGTCCCTCATTTCAATCATCCATTTTTCATCCACTTCATTTTATTTTTATAATCATGTTTGTCACACCTCAACAAAATCTAAGCCAACCAGTATGTGCTGGGATGATATCTTTTACGGTGCCATCACCCACTTCCACTGCGGCCAAACTAGAACATCCCCATCAGTCACCTGTGTTCCTGAAAGTCTCTGCGGATACCCACAGCACACCAGAGATCAGTTTATATCTTCCAACTGGAATTTCTTTGGGGTATGTCCCTCCAGATTTTGATAGTTGTTTCTTGAAGCTGCTTGGAAGCACACCTTGTATATATAAAGCTCTACCTGCTGGCGGATGGAAACCGGGTTCAACTTTTGACCCCAGTGACCCAGTTCTCATCAGCTCTACTGTCAACACCACTATTATAGAATTTGATGGGCATGATGTGTCACAATTGCAAGTCCATGCACTTATATTTATCCCAAGTTGGTTCCAAGGAAGCCTTGTCAAGACAGTCAGGAACTTCAATATCAAATCCAGTGTCCTACTCATTACAATCCTCAACAACATCAACTTATTCCTCTGGTGGATCTAGAAGCACAGACAACTCCCAACTGGAGCTCAGGATTTCCTGATCACATGTTGACCAGTGACGCGGTCTCCAGACTTGCGTCCATTTCATGCGGCTCAGATCTTCAGCCTGTCAATTCATCAGAGATAGTTACTTCTCAGCTACACCCCCATCAGCAGCAGGGCCCGGCCTTTTTGTTGGACAGAGAAAATCCTGAATCAACAACTTATCACTCCCTTTGGTTTAATAAATCAATGCCACCGTTCAACCGGTGGAGTCACTGTCTCTGTGGGGAAGAATTTATTGTCACTGAGGGACAAACCGGACCAGTCAGCGTTGCTTCTCAACTTGAGTTAAAGTTAACCGGCTGATGATGATGTTGTGTTTGTTTTTGAGGGCAATGAGAGCTCGCTTTTGGCTCAGAGATTGTTTGTAATTATCTAATACTGCTTCCTTTACAACTGCCACATCATAATTTCCTTGTTGTTTCAAGTCCCATTCTTTGATTCGTCTTCTAGCAGTTCTTACACAGACTTGGATGTTGTGCCGTTGCCAATCAGTGTCGCATACTGTTTGTGCTGGCCAGTTGTTAGCCACAGCTTCTTCAACGAGGGGTCGCAAGATTTCATCAGATATTTCTGCTGGCATGTTGGTGTGTAGTTGGTGATGGAGACAGAAGGTGATTTGATGAGGATTGCAGAAGATTGGGGACGGTCGAAGAAGATTCAGGATAATCAAAGAAGATTGAGGACGGTCAAAGAAGATCAAGGACGGTTGACAAAGATTGAGGAAGATTGAGGACAGTTGACAAAGAAATAAGAAGATTGAGGACGGTTGATGAAGAAAGAAGAAGTTCAAGGACGGTCAACGAAGAAAGAAGAAGATCGAGGACAGTTGACAAATAATGAGGAAGATCAAGGACGGTTGACAAAGATTAAGGAAGATCGAGGACAGTTGACAAAGAAATAAGAAGATCGAGGACGGTTGACAAAGATTGAGGAAGATCAAGCCGGTTGACAAAGATTGAGGAAGATTGAGGACGGTTGACAAAGATTGAGGAGGATCGAGGACAATCGAAGAGGATTGATGATGATGAAAGAGGTTTTGGAGGAGAGCTAGACAGGAAGCAGGTACTTTGAAGCTCTTGAGACTGATGGTAGAATGTCTCCAATCGGAGGTGTTGATACCTGTGAGACCGAGCTTGTAGCTAGTTGGCCAACATGTGGTTTTTGGCTGAAGTAGAATCTAACATTGGTGTTTGAATTGTACAGTTTGAGAAATGTATTTTTTGGTTTTTGGTTTTTGGTTTTTGGTTTTTTGATTTTTTGATTTTTGGTGTTGCTGGTACTTTTTGTTGAAAGGTGACAATGCAATGAAAACGGTGTTGACCACTGGAAATTTGGGCAAAAAGGGGTTTCTGCCATGACTTTTACCCCAGTACAGGGGTTTTATCCCTGTATTTGAGTATTTTCTGTAGTTTTGTCTTGGATTTTTGAATTTCGCACGCGGGGATTGTGATTTTTGATTTTTGAAATTTTGCATTGTCACTTTGGAACGTCTCGCATTCCGTACTGGATAACTGTTTTCGGGCATATCAGTGGTTTCACTAAAAGGCTTCGGATAACCTAGTCGACAATTACTTCCAGTCAAGCACTTATAGTTCTGACATGGTCCGTGGCGCATGAACTTGGTAACCAAATTGAAGAGTCCAAGTTTGTTATCAGGATCTGGTAATTGAGCAGTTATCATACAATCGACTTGGGCCGGGGTAGTTGGTTTTGAAGCTGAGTCAAGGAACACAATCAAATGGGCGTGTGGAAGCCCCCTTTTTTGAAATTCAATTGTATACACATAAGCTGTGCAAATGCCAAAACGTTCGCGTTTTTTGATGTCGTCCAATAAGCAATGAAATTTGGCATGGAAAACCCTAGCTACTAAATCAGGCCGATCCTCTGGTTGTTGATTATCGTCCAAAGCTTCAAGGATTTCACCCCACTGAGGGTTAGCGGTCATAGTTATAAATAGGCTTGGTGCGCCAAACTCGGCTACAAGCGTCATAGCATCTTGATATAACTGTTGCATATGTCGCGGTCCACCAATGAAACTTGAGGGCAATACTACTCTTCTACCAACAACTTCATCCTCTACTTCGTTACCCAAGGCCTCCACTGCTCCGCTGTAAAGTTCAGCACGCAACTCTTTTTGATGAAACCTCAAGTATTGCAAGCGTGAGTGCTCTACACACACGTACATATCCACTACAAACTCTTGGAAAAGCCTGCCCGAAGCCAAGATTAACGAAAAAGTGTTCCGCTTGAAGATCAAATAAGCAAACCATTCCAAGTTGGATACCTCGCCATCTGGTCCTGAAAATAATGTAAAGGTAACGTATTGATTAATAACTTTTGCATGAAGTTGTCAAATCTATCAACGCCTAACTTACGTGCGTCTGTTGGATTTGAAAAGTGCTCATGCCACGTTTGAGAGCCGTAAGGGAATAGTAAAGGATATCTTAACGTGAAGTATCCTGTGTGAAGTTCGGATATCCGTTGTAGATCACCTGATTGGCGCTGGAGGACAATGTCCCGCTTTTGAACTCCTACTTGTCCATCTCCTTCAATTATAGCAGCTACCTCGTTCGCAGTGGGACGGTTATAACGTCGATGATCTCGACCTGCAGCATTGATTGTATTGATTACCAAGGATTGATTGTTTCCTTCATTAGTAATGATCGCAGCTGATCAAAATACTTCTACGTAGGGATTAATTTGATTCATGAATTGTTGAAATTGTAGTAGTATTTGGGGGTCAAGACTGTTGTCAAAGTTTTGGTTACGGAAATGAGCTTCTGCTTCATCGCCTCCTCCGTAAACAAAGATTTGCGCAAATCCAGGGTGATTACTGGGGACGGGCATGAGGGATCCAATGTTGTGTGAGAGCTGGCCCAAGATTCTGAAGGTATAAACTCCACGTTACCCAGCAACAGTCCTATCAATGTTTGCACCCAATGAAGTAAAAGACATCGCATTGTTGTAATGTCTGATATTTAATCTAAATTCGACTGAGACTGTTGAAAAATCAGTTAACCATACCTACATATAAGAATAGACAAAGGTACCTTACTATTGTCTGCGCTGGTTAAGAGGCGATGATAGAACTCTGGAACCGCCCTATCTACATCTTGCGGGAAATAGTGCATTGGCAATTCGACAGCTCCATGTTGGCAACAGTTGCCATAAGTGGAACGTAATAAATTAGCGTCTTTAACCGTCCTTTTGATCTTCCAACGGAAGGCATCACATTTGGAACATTGGTCGTCGGCAGCCCCTAAACTATGCGGAATTTCTCCAGCAAATCGAGTCAATAGATTGATTTCACTACCCAGAGCTTCAGTCCTTGCTGCCGGACCTTTCCTAGCTCGGTAAGCACGCATGGTGCAGCAACTCTTCGTATAAAGTGGTTTTCAATACGAAGACGATTCGTTCGCAGTTGAAATTGGTTCTGAGTATTGTGACGAAATAATAGAAAGATATAGAAAATCTTAAAATGAGGTTGATATAATTGAAATTAGCAAATAACTCAAACAAATCTGAATTGTGCAGATAGTTGATGGATAATCAAACACCTACCTGACGAATTAAAAAGTTGTTGAAATGGATATTGCTACTTGTCACTCCTGAGATTATCAGATACTCTGGTTTTACTCGACGTAACCATTTAGGTCCTTTGGATGCAAATCTGTAAGTTGAATAATTTACTACACCGCCAACATATTTACCTCGGATTTTGTAATCCGAGGTATCCTCGGATGCAAAACCTCGGACAGAAGCTTCCCGAGGTTTTGATCCGAGGTTATTTCCAGGGCAAAAAAATACCTCGGGCGAAAACCTCGGACAAGGTCTGTCCGAGGATTTGCCTCTGATGATGCCTCGGATTTCTCAACCCGAGGCATCTATGCTGGCAGTGCTATGGCATGATTTGCGTAGCATTTTCATATTGCTAACTTTGACGAGTATATTTTGATCCATTGTAATTTATTGACACACCTACTTCAACAGATTTCCCTGGAACTGATACATAAACGTATAAATCCCTTATAACCTCTTCAAGGGTAACACTAATAAAGCTTCGAAAAGCATCATTGGACGCAACTGTCATGACTATACGATTCAAACTCTGAAAGCTTCTGATGCGAGCACCACGATACTGTTGGTCTCGCACCTCGAATTTACCATCTCTACATCAATTTTGTAGTGTTCATAAAGTTGTTATTAGTGATATAATGCATCATGAGACTGATTGCCCAATACTTTCATCATAAATGCATTGATGTCTTTTGCATGAAGGATTAATAGCTCCTCATCAAATACTCTTGATGATATTTGTGGTTTGGAATCCTCTTAAAACACTTAATCGTGTTTAGTCAGCTATATAGCTTCGTCCCATTAGAGATTATAGAATATAACTCCTTGATTATAATTATTCATCAATCACCAACATCAGGTAGACGGGCCTAAACTTGAACACTCAATCTCGATCATTGCACGTAATGAATTCCTTCCACCATGTAGTGGGTAACTTAATATCAATCACTTGATAGTGGAATGTGTGAACTCGGTTTGTTTTGGGAAGTTGTTGACTGCATGTATAAATAATAGAAGTGGTAAAAAATCTGCTGCGAAACTACGAACTGGACTGACTTAACCCTACGGATAACCCCCATTTGAGGTACCGAAATTCACTCGGGGCTGCCACTTAATACTGTCTTGTTGTACACGTTATAATTTACTTTACCGCGACACGATCATTGTCAATACTTATTTGACAGTTGAGCTGTATACACAATTTCAACAACGGGCCATGAGTTGCAAATCGTATCAAGTTGGACAGGGAACGACTGGCATAGAAATAAGAATTACACTTCGGGTGCAGGCAGAAGATGTAATTTTTTTTAAAGTTTTGGAGAATAGAATATGCAGAGATACATTTGGAGATAAGTGGAAATAAGGATACATCTGCAATGTTTTCAACTCAGAACTGAAGCTAAGGCGAAGTTTGAATCACGTTTGGAATTTACTATTTAACTACAGATCTTGCAATGGATCAATTTGAGAAAAAGTCACGATGAAATGTAGGCACGGAAGATTAAAATTCGAGCTGTGGTTTTTGGAATTGCAAAAAGAAAGGCAAATAATTTCAGATACTTTCCACTGTTCAAACTGAAAACCCACATACTGTATGTTTGGAAGAGTCTCACCTCAGTAATGTTTAAACGTCTTCAGAGGTGCTGATATTGACACTCTTACCCTTCTTAGTCACACGTTTGGGTTGTGTACGACTTCTTTTCTTTTATGCCTCAATGCAAATTTCATTTGGAGTAACTTTCTCAGGGGATGTACTTGACCCTGAGGGAATAGCGGCACTCGAAGAAGCTGATTGGTATGACTCGGGTCCGAAGTCAGAAGGTGCAAATTGCAGACTGGGTGATGATTCAGATTCAGTGGACGTAACAGAGGATTTAAATGACGACTTCAAATCCTTAGGATTGAATCTATAATGAAGGAAAGGGGTCAGCACACGGATTTCTAAGGATAAGTGTAAGTACTAACTTTTTGGGTTTGTTCACTAAGTTGAACGGTTTGGTATCTTCAGTTTTTACCTTGACACCATTACTGCTAACCTCATATTCTTTGCTGCCATTTGTGGGGGAAACCTTGTTGGCCTGTATGCTCAATCTGCGTATTAGAACATTATCAGGATGAAAAATCCATGTGAATGCTAACTTACAATTACGATGTAGCGGAAATTAGTGGAGTCGTAATCCTTAATGAAACCATGGAATTGAAATTCTCTACCAATTTTCAGTATTTTAGGTGTACCGGCTAGGTTTGGAGTTGGAGGGATGCGATATTTGGCTGTAAATTGAGCTGATTCTTTGGTCTATCAAATGCGACTTTTCAGTAAATTTTAAATAACATGAAAGGACACCAAATGGCTGACAGGAGGATGGAAATTGGAGTGTAAAACAGTTACAATAGTCGTTGGCTTGTTCTCATCCTTGGGGTTTTTCATAAGGCCTCCACGAGCTGGTTCGATAACGATGGTGATGTTGCAAACAATTCCGACTCCAGTGACTCCAACCACATCAACTAAATCGCCAACGAAGGCATCTTCAGAATTGAGTAACACTCGGTCTGAAGCTTTGAAGAAGATTATATCATCTGTTTGAGCATCAGTAGTTGGGAAAAAACTACCTCTCAAAAAATAGATGTGTTGGGCTTCAAGCATGAAATTAGCTTGACTGAAACCGCGAGCTACAATTTCATATCGCAAGGTCTCTTTGTCAGGACTTCCACTACAGCCGATGAAGGTTGTATAAGTTCGATACTCTTTGCGCCAACCGTTTTCACCTGATGTCTACAAAATCACAGACACAAAGTCAGTTTGTAGTAACAGAGTCTTACTGCCAACATACCTTCGCCTCAATAAGGAAAGGTCCCAACAAATCAAGACCATGCGTAGTAGACTCAGTTGGGTCAGCCATGAATGCTATGGTCTGATCAAATAGTTTGGAGTAATTGTTATTTCAACCGTGGAAGTCACGTGATTACCAAATAGATCAGATAATTGATGGGAACTTACTTTTTCCAAATGAAAAATAATAAAGTTCTTTGTTTTGTATGAGTACTTTATTAGTCGGAATTTGAGAATATATAATGAGTTAGATTCGAGTTGCTGCTGACTGTTCTGCGAGAGTCCAAAGGGCTTAATTTTAACAATACAATAGATATGAAAGCTGCGTTTATTGTTGATTACTTTGATAGTAGAAATTCAATGAAAATGTAATGCAGCGCAATAACAATTGTAATAGATAACACTCGTGACAGCAGAGTGTGAATGGAGTTTGACCTACCTTGTTGTTGTCTTGATGTACAATATATATACTAAAAATAACAACGTCTTGGGCTTGATTTCTAACTTTTGTGATTAACATTTTCCTGCTTTGGACATTGACTAAAAGATATACATAATATTAATTGTATATCTGTTTTCATATGAAGATATTTGCAGATGTGGATACGGAATATGTATGGAATATTAATCGGGTGCACTCTATTTTGGACTCAGTAGCTGAGATTGTGAAAGTAGTAATAGCATAGTTTGTCTTTCTTTACTTTGGTCGCCGATCAGAATCAAAATCAGTTATGAGCAGATATTCAGGGGAAAAATGTTAGCGGAGCATTGTCAAATTGAAGCACATATTGTATCTAGATTTTCTGTAGTCGCTCAACTTGTGTTTTTAATGTCATCGGCCATCTCAATCTTACAGCCGAAAAAATTGACTGATAATGCGTATTTGATATACACACTGAAATAAATTGATGAATCCAAATAGTTGTGCTGTTATTATGTGTGATTGGCAATAATAAGGTCGAGCATATTGGTATTTGCCATTTGGTTGGGGCAGTACACAAATGAGACAATGAGCAAATACGCATAAATGTGAATAGGAAAATAAGGTATAATACGTACGCTAATTCAACTTGCCAGATTCCAGGGCTAGAAGTATGGATTGTTTGCGATAATCCCGTGTAACTGAAGCTCCTGTTGTAGTTTCACCTTCAGAACATGATATACCAATGAGTGTTTGGTAAGGCCGGTGAAAGATGTGCTGTTACGATGGTCTTGATATCTGATGCTTATTAAAACACTTTATTTACATTCCCAAACTTCAACACTTGCCTTGAACGTAATTCTGATCAAACGTGTATGTAGATTAGCTGATGTTCCTGATTGTGTTTTTCTACTCAGCATTTACAATGTGATATATGATAATTAATTCAGTCTAGTATCAATTCGTAAATGAAACACATTCCATACAATCAAAATTTAACTTAAGATGTTGAAAAGTGCCAAGTAAATTTGACAATCATCTCAAGTGCCGTTGAGGTACATATTTCATTGAGAATTGAAATTAGAGTATTGTGTTGTTAACGAGGTGTTTTTTTCGCGCAATTTTCTGTCGTCACTTCCGAGCTTGGAAAGGTTAAGGACCCATGTTGATCCATTGGGACTCTCAAGCGTTGCGGGTACCTAATTTGTGTATGCATCTCGTGCTCTAAGTTTTTGCTTGATGTTTGGGAATGAATGAAACTGCTCGGGTGGAGAAAGTGCCTTAGCGATTAGTGTCGGTGCACTATGGTGCTGCTGTGCTGATGATACATGTCTCCTTGGGGTTCTGGGGGGGGGGTCGGCCGTGTGCTGATCTAGACAATGCTTTATGCGCCTAGGGTGGGTTAAATTTATCCCGCCCTAACCTAACCTAACCCTAACCCCTGACCAAATAATCGTTGCTTATTCCTAACTCGGAGAATATTAGAATGATTACCTCTCGCAACTCAATTTATTCCAATACAGTTGGTTTTTGATTGAATTGAGTGTTTCTATGATTCAGGCACCACACCAAGGAAAACAGTTCACGAGTAGATGTTTTTGTCCCTCTATTCCCAAATAGCATGTAATATTGTTGTTATCCATTGATACCAACTGAACAAATTAATTTCTTAATCAAGCAACTGCTTGATTGAACATCTTTCATATCTTTCATAGTAAGTAACAACCTCAAATCAGACAATAGTTTGGAATATGCATATTTCGAATCATTAGTTGTATCCTCAGTTTTTTATATTTCACTTGTCGCTTTCTTTATGATTACCTGTCAAGCAATTATATGCTCACAACGTCTTGTTTTTGCTGTACTCAATTAAGCAGTTATTGATGCTTGCAAAATAATGAGAATTGACAATGCTTGCAACTACATTTCGAAAGGTAAAAATGGTAGTTAAAATACGAGAGTACATTCAAGAGATGCTTTAATGGAGCAAATGGAATCACAGGTAACATACACTATGAATCAACAGTCAAGTAGAATGGTTGAGCTGATTAGAAATATCTACCAAACTGTCTAAGGATCCTCGAACTGCACCGTCCCAATTTAAAGTAGATAGTTACATGATCGTAATAATTTATGAACGGTCAGGGCCGACAAATGAATTAAAAGATTTTGTAACTACATCTTATAGCATCTTATCAAATTGAGAGCAAGTAGAAATACAATCGAATGGTTTCAAAACCTGCAAGTAGGGAGCACTACATAGTGCATGTGGGCTACACCACGCTTTTGATGCTCACTCATGATGTAAATATGCCATTTACGTTCCTGACTAACTGTAGCGTGCGCACACATCATGCTATCCATTAAATAGTAACAGCTCCTTGCGTTTAACGGTAATGGAAGTGAAATTGATTTGTTGTCTAAACTCGAAATAAGATGTGGACCAATGTAACCGAAGTCTGCTGGGTTTTTTAGGGTGCAAAGTAAATTTAGTTAGAAGAACTTTGTGGCATCCTCTCCATAGCAGCTGATGGTAACTCACCAAAGTTATTTAAGGTGACTGTAGATATGTTGTCATGATTAGCCGATTCGTTAAGTTCTGTTCTTTTTGCCGATGCAATAGACAAAGATGTTGAGGTTAGTATATTTGATTACGTTTGCCTGGTAAATGAGCGTCAACTCACGGTTGCTCAACCCTGGGTAGGGCCGGTATAATGCTAATCAAGAGGTTGGTAACGACCATTGGAGCAGAGTGGAAACCTTCTACTGTATCTTCCAAATTGATGCACGGGTTGGTGACGACGATTAAGTGAAAGTAAGGGAAATGAGTTTTAGGGAACTCAATCGAATAACTATACAGACGTTCAGTTGAAGATATATATTCTAACATTGAATTGTAAATTGTTCGAAGGGTTAATGTAGGTAAAGGGAAGTTGTGGTTGCTCATGATGAGTGATTGATGCTTTTGCAAGTAATGCGAATGTTGGTCTTTGTTTTTGGACAAAAGCAAACAAATTACGGTGATGAATTATACTGACAATTCAGGATGAAAAGGCCAGTGTTTGAAACTTCAAGTGCATTCCTTGTAAAAAATAGTAATGATACGACGAGTGATGCGTTGATATTTATATTGGTGTTCTGTCGGTAAGTACTCATCTGAATTGTCAAAATGCCCTGCCAGGTGGGGATCTTCTTGTTGTATGTTAAATACTGATTTTGTTGTGCTCATCGCTTTATATTATTTGTTAATTGTGGGTAATATGGATGTTGGTTAGGAAATCAATGATTACTGCATCGGGTGTGTTATTGTCAATACCTTTTTCGTGTAACTGCTAACATCATATGCTAATCTCTGGTTCCCTGCCTATGCTCTAATTGAAAAACAGTGGATATGTTGTGATTGCTTGTTGGTTGTAATATCATTATTGGGACCTTACTGGTTGGAGACATTATTCCTTAGCGAAACAAATGATACACTGGTACTTTGCCTTTTACTTAGCATCAACCAATTATTTTATTGCACAATAAAATGATACAAAGGTCCATATTTCATTATCAAGTCTGCCTACAATATGACTAAGTATGTAACATATGTATGTCGAGTATATGAAAATCAACTCTTGTTAACACAAATAAGGAGGATGATATGCGAAATTTTTAATAAGGAAAGACGTCTAAAGTTTGACACTCAACAAACAAACAAAGGAAATATTTTAACGTGAAGAAAATTGTGGCTACATGTGTAAAGAAACGCCATTCTATAGCCTCGCAATATCGGAGCTATGTAGGATACCCTAAATCGAGGTGCTTGGCTGGCATATACGGCATCAAGTTGTTACAATTACTATCAGTTGTTTACATGGAGTTCAAACGACGGCGTTTGTTGGATGAAGATCGTACGATTGGAGAGCTAAACACTGGTCTCTTGCCCCAATCTTCAACTTGAAAGGCTAATGGACAGAATGTAGATGATGGTGTCGACTTCATCGTGGGAGTGGATCTCTCAGATTGGGAGCTATTTTACCGAGCCGCGGTGCAAATGGACAAAAAGTATGTTAACAATTTATTGCAGTAGGAATACATTTCCAAACTCACTATGTTGGGATACGATTACTACGCCTCCTCGTTTGGGTGTTATGTGTCTCAGGGTCACTACTTGGCGACACTGCAGTGGTTCTTGAAATGGCAGTTACTGGGCAAATCGTGTTGACCTGTGTGTAAATCGTTCAACTGATGTATGATGCTATGTTGCTCAAGCAGAGCGAATAACTTACGATGACGACATAACAATTAGTATTCTCATTGAAATCTTTAATAAAACCATGGAATTGATATTCACGACCAAGTACAAATTCCTCATTTAATCCAATAAGATTTACGAACGGCCAAATCCAGTACTCGACTTTGAATTGAACTGTAGTCTGAAGCTACATGTTGATAATGTTAATGATAATCATGAAATTGACTCAAAACGTTTAATGAAGCTTACGATCGGATGGAAGTCTGAATGCAAGACTGTCAAAAGTTTAGTAGTATCAATTGTTGTGAGAAGTATGTCTTCCGGGCTTTTAGGAGATGATTCTTGGACAGTATCGATGTTGCATACTATGCCGGTGCTCGTGACAGCAACTGAATCAGTAAAACTACCCATGTAAGATAGTCTGGTGCCAACAAAAGGATGGTCGTGCCCTTCGAAGGCGAGAGAATCGAAAGAAGTATTGGGCCGATTCTTTGGAAAGAAAGGACCTCGTAAGAAATACACGCCTTTACCATACAATGGATTGTCTACAGCACCCATGCTAAATGCTTGGATTTTGTAGCGTGTGACCTTCGCACGATCGACGCCGTTGCAATTAATGGAAAGAATGTAAATTCCACCTCCAACTTCGGAACTGTTTGTTGGTGCTATCTACAAATTCAGAAGAGGACATATGATTGTCAGGTAAATTCAAAATCAAAACGTAGAAATGTTGCCTATACTTTATCTTCTATTTCAAAGTGCCAGATATATAACAGCTGTATAAGCGGAACCAGCTAGTATTCACCCCTGTCTTGACTGCTTTTTT